ACAACCCCCTGCTGTTACCTATAACTTTGATGTTATTAATACCATGATCTAAAGAAAGGAAATAACTTCAGAAATAAGTTGGTTTTCCATATAACTGTCTTGGAATTTAGTTCAGTGTCTAATAATTTATCAGTCAGCCCCTAATCCTCCCTGACTTTATGGCCATCATTGCTACCTGTTTGGCCGAGCCCCACATCCGTCTATCCTTTAATTAGAGAGGAATCTTAGTGATGGAACCATGCTCCAGAATAGGGCCAAGCCATCTTCACAATAACCCTGGTAAATTAAATATAAGTATTAAAAGCCAGTTTTTCGAAGTCATAGAAAATGACTCCACAGTTTCTCTTTGGATGAAGCACTCAGACATATCCTAAGTAATATATATTTCAGTACATAAATTTATCAGACTCTTTAGGCTGACAAATTTTTAAATTCCAGGATTGAAAGAGGCCACAGAAATTATATGATTTAGCAATCTGGGTGTCATTGATCTAGCTTTCAACATTTTTTAGTGATAACATGTTTTTTAGGAAATGATAGTGATAGAAGAAATGAAGGGTTTTTTTCCATGAAAAATATTCATCTACCCAGATCAAAGTAGACAAACCTAAAATCTTTGTGTTCAATACAAATTTTTTTTTATTGAGTTTCAGGAGCTCTTTATATATTAAAGGTATTAAACCTTTGTCCATCATATATATTACAATTTTTCCCATTTTCTCTTTTAACTGCTGTTTTTATTATATTTATATTAAGATTATTATGTCAAATCAATTTCATTTTATTCATTCTCTTTTTTATCTTATCATGCTTACATATTCTACCCTAACTTGTTATTACACAACTTTTTCATCTTCTCCTAGAACACTTATGGTTACATTTTTAAATCTAAAAGTTCTTTAACCAATCTGGAATTTGTTTTTACATAAAGTACACAATTCCTAAATTTTTAATTAGCTGTTCCAGCACAATTTTTTGTTTTTCCTTCTCTACTAATTTAAAAGGCCATATTAATCATATAATGTGCTCTTAAAATATATGACCCTAAATTATAAAGTATTCACTACTAGAATTTTAACTGTTCTTGGATATCTTTACTTAGTTATAATGTTTATTTTTCAAGTATGGTAAAATGATTTTTTTCTTTACTGGAATATGCCACTCCACTCTGTAGTTTTCACGCTCTACTCTTTGATTAAAATATTTTATTGGCTTCCT